AATTCATTCTTCGTGTTTTGAAAGTTTTCTGATATTATTTCATTGAATAGCTTCTTGATTCCTTTGGTTTCGTCCTCTATGCTTCCCTTTATCCCAATAACTCCTAAATTTGGTCTTTTTATGCTATCCCATATTTCTTGAATGTTCTGCTCCTGGTTCCTTACCATTTTCACTCTATGGTCTATGTTCCTTTCAAGATTATATATTTTATCTTCATTGTCTGATGTGCTATCTTCCCAGTAGTCTACTCTGTTCATGATGCTTTCATTTGAGCTTTGAGTTTGGTTTATTATTTCATTCATTTCAAGAATTTCTGTTTGTTTGTTTGTTTCTTTGGTTTTTTTAGAACCTCTATCTCCCTGTTGAGGTGACCTTTTGCTTCTTGGATTTGTTTATGTAGCTCATTATTGAAGTGATCTTTTACTGCTTGTCTTTGCTCTCTTATATCTTCTTGGAATTCACAGGACCTTTTAACCATGTATATCCTGAAATCTTTCTGGGTCCATTTTTCTGCTGTAGCTTTCAATGATTCTAATGATGTGTTGTCTTGATTTGTTTGGACAATTTCTTCCCTTATCTTTTCATGTTACTTGTGTGTCTTCCTTTCCAGCTCTGTGGTTCTGGGGTGTTATTGTTTTTACCCTATAGATTTGTAGTGCTCTTGTAGGGTTGCAAGATTCCTCCTTTGTGGGGAAGGATGATGTTAACAGATCCCAATATCAAGAATACATCATGTATGAACAATTTGTTGTTATGAAGACATTTACAGTTTAGTCTCAATGTCCAGAAATGTTGGATTCAATTATTATTTAAAATATAATCCTAGTTTTGTAAAAAGGTTTACAGTCTCTGGTGGTGGATAATGAACTGGGGGTCTGCCATAATGATATGTGTCTCAGAGGGAGTTCCCATCTGCCAGCCATGCTCACCAAACATGGGGAGAAAGGTGATCCAAGATGGAGCCGGTCTGCTTCCAGCGCTGGGGTGACCAGTGACGTGGGGAGAGCTGGGTGATGGCCTTGTGCTGTGGGTAGGTAGCAGCTGCGTGGCCTGTGTGGGAACCGAGTCCAGCCTGGAGTTCTGCAGAGGGGCTGAGAGGTGTTTCTGCTGAGCCGCTCAAGAGCTGCTTGTGGCTAGAGCTGTGGGCTTTGGGCCTGGAGTCCAGAGTCTTACTCGAACTCTGAGGCTCTGAATTCTGCACTGGGCTTACAGCGTGGTGATTTCTGTGAAAATCCACTCTAGAGTGGCTTTCACGCTCTCTGAGATCTGTATTCTGATGAGGTGAGACCTAGGCCATGGAACAACACAGGATGCTGCCTGTCTCTGGCCCACCATCTTGAATGTCCCCTCTTCTGCTCTCGACATGATATGGTACCCTTTCAACTGTCAAGGCCTCTTTAAACAGCAGGAAAGATCTCAAACTGAAGAAAAGCCTTGTATGTAGAAAAGTGATAAGACATTCCTTGTTTCAGATCTAGTTAGACTTGTTCAGATTTGAGGGAATATTTTGTATTATTTATTATTATTATTATTATTATTATTATTATTATTATTATTATTATTATTATTATTATTTCAACCTAGAGGTGCCTAACCACTGAGACACATCCCAGTCTTTTTTTATTATTTTTTTTCCAATGTTGAGACATGGTCTCACTTGGTTGCTTAGGTCCTAAGTGGCTGAGGCTGGCTTTGAACTTGTGATCCTGCTGCCTCAGCCTGATATAGTCTTCACTGCCTTCAGCAACCACGCTCTTTTGAGAAAACAACTGTGGGAGTGTAAAAAGTGTATGTGCCTTCATTCTGGCTATTCACAGGTGATAAAAATGCACCCTAGAGTGGATGTAAAAATGGCATCAAGGTGAAGATGTGAAAGCAAGGTTAAATCTCTGTTATTGTTAGATTCAACTTTTCTGTATTTTAAGTTCTTTGCATCTGTAGTCAAATCTCACATATTATGACATAATCTTATATATACTGTGCATTTTTGGGTGTGCAAAAATGTTAGTTGCATTAACTTTTGGTCACAGCATTTTAATACTTTTTTTAGAGTTTTTATGTGTCTCCTTCCATTAAGTACATTTTCTCTTATAGTGTCCATTTTTTGCAGTAAAGGCTTTATCAAATTTAAAACTCGGGTCTCATAATATGAAAACTTTTTCTATATGGAATTCTGATATTTTCAGTGTCCTCAAATATTGTATGACTTTTACAGATGTTGTGATAAAATAAAAATTGAGAGAGGTTTTAGAGAAATAATTACCAGGGTCAGAGAATGGAGAAGAGAAAAGGAACATTACCATCATTATATCTGGAGTCTTTAAGGACTGAGCCCCATCCCTAGTCCTTTTCAATTTTTGTGGGTTTTTTTTTTGTTTGTTTGTTTGTTTCATAGAGGATCTTGCTAAGTTCTTCTTAAGGGCCTCCATTTCTTGCTGAGTCTGGGTTGAAGCTTGCGATCCTCTTGCTATGGCCACTGGGATCACAGACATATGCTACCATGCTCAGCTCCTGGGTGTTTCCTGAATCCCTGATGTAAATCGAAATGTGCCTTGTTTGTGTCGAGTTTCCAGGTGTCACCCATTCAGATGGAAGAATTACTTCTTCATGTGTTTCTGTATGTTAACGTCCTTCGAGCTCTAAGAATCTAAAATGATGCTGATCATCATAAGAACATTAACACACACTTTCCAAATTATTATTAGTTCAGTTGAACTAAACTGGAATTGACTTGGAAAAATGTATATTAGATAATTTATGTTGAAAACAGGGGTGGAAGAACTATTTAAATATTTAAGGAAACCAGTTATTCATTTCTATGAAGAGCTCATGATATAATGAACTTCAGTTACTATTCCCTTTCATGCACCAGGCACCAGAAAAGCACTTTAGCAGGGTCACAGAGGCTATCAGAAATGCCCTGGTGCTCAGGTGAGGGTTTTCCAGAGCAGCAAGTCACATTAAAAAACACCTGGGAGGGGTGAGTTGTGCCACCCACACATGCACACTCAAACCCACGTGCACACACATGTACAGGATCAAGTCACCCTTTTCTCTACATACCCTCCCTAGTGCAGTGCTTTCATCCTCACTGTGTCATGCAACTATTGATTTCTTTGATTTTTCTCACAATGTTGCTGCCCACAATTCCTTCTCAAAAATCACTTGTTATTTCCTGACTTCTCAATTTAGTCTTGTGTCATTCAGAAGTTTCAGACACATTGTGTGTGTTAGTTGAGGCCTCTCCACTCCAGCCTTGTGTACAGATAAGTGAAATATCTCTTCCTTCCTCCTTTTCTCCCTTTGTTATTTCAGACATTACCCAGGAGGGCTCCACCACTGAGCTTCACCCTAACCCTGTTAATTGTTATTTTTTAAGAGAGTGAGACTGGCCTTGAACTTGTAGTCACACTGCCTCAGCCTCCTACAGCTGGGACCATAGGTATATGCCCTTGTGTGCCCTACAAGAATCATCACCAATCATTGCAATTACTGATATCTTTGAATCAGTCAAATTTACTCTCCAATTAGAAGTGTCAAAATTGGAATATAAGTCAGCATTTTAAAACACTTATTGTTTGATCAAGGTTGTATAAATTTGATTCATTATAAATTGGTCCTTGATTAAACAGCACAAATTGTAGGTATAAGCTTAATATTTTAATAAGTTCTATCATGTCAGAATGTGGAGAAAAAGCTTATATCAGCATAATAAAATGAGGGAAATAGGCTAAAATATCCTAGAATTGATTGTTCAAATATATATAGTCAGTCCAGGTATACATAAATCTGTTTCTCAATTGTTTTGACCTTTCTATGTCATCTGTCTAGATAATTATATTAACATTTTCATCATGAAAATTTAGAATATAAAGACCTTTTCATTTACCTGAAGATGATTTCTTTCTTCTTAGGACCTCCTAGTAGACATCCTTTTATTTCTGTCACTTAGGGCTAGATAATCATACTAGCAAACATGTGTGTTTCCTCTCTGCAGAAACATCTTCATTTTCTTCTATAGAAATCTTTCTTTTTGTTTTACTTTGGGACAATTTTTATAAATGTTAGAGTCTAAAGAAATTACTTATTGTACCTTGATAAGAAGTATCTCAGTGAAAATATAGTTAAAGCTGTTGGACATTTCTGTTGACAGAATCATATCTATTTATCATCTTATAAAAATTGGTACAGTAATTTGATAATTAGAGATTGCTTGATGGTTGTATATCTCTTGAAATAGATATTTTATAATAAAATACAGTCATCTTAAATATCTACTATAAAATGCAGAGCATGAGATAAATGCATGTATAAGAAATATAACTGAAGTGTTTTCTGTTGAAAAACGATTAAAAGCAAATAGATACATATTAATTAAAAATCAGACATATATGTCAATTATTTTATGAATTAAGGACTCTAGATCATCCAAATAACTGGAAAAATATGCATTCGTAATAAAAATATAACTTACTGTTATATAATCACGGAATTTTAAAGTGAGCCTCATTAAATCGTGTGGCTCTTGAAAGTATTTGGGCCCATTCATTTTACTTTGGACTAGTAGTGCACTCATTCTATTTGTGATGTCATGTGATGTGGTTAAAAAAATTCTTGTGTATACATTTGTTTGTTTATTGTAATTACGTAGTCAGGAAAGAGAAGGAGGGTTTCTTGGTCATCACAGAATCATTGTGAGGAAGGATCTCAGATGCTGGCTTTGATGTCTGAGGGGTGCAAAACGCATTCCCATGATCTCCAAAATTGTAAGAAGACTATGTTTGTGACCTCTCATCAACGGAACATTATTTAGTAATATTACCATGAAGAGCAAAGAGAAGCACTCTAAAGGAAGCTGTTGAGACACACACACACACACACACACACACACACACACACACACACACAGTTATTCAGCTTCAGAGTGAGTCAGGCTTAGGGCTGCAACGGGGAAGCCTGTGGAGTTAGATTTTGCCTGAAATAGATCTCTTGTATTTCAGGTGCACATTCATAAAAACGCAGGCTCCCTGAAGCTCCAGTGACCAACCTGAATGAAGCAGGAAGGACAGGTTAGTGGCTGGGAGGCGGGACCAGAAGCCCTGCCTGGGTGACAGAGGAAGGACCAATTGGAAGCCCTGGAAAATGGGAAAGGCCTGATGAGGAAGCCAGGCTCCGCCCCCTAGGGGGGTCCCCTGGTTACCATGGTGATGGAACAGCCCAAAACTGGCTGTGGCTGCTGCAGCTGCCTGGGTCCCAAAGTCAGGGGTTAGCTCTCTCCTCCTTAATGGGCTGTTTCCCTGTGTCTTCCCCGCCCCTGGTGTTCTCCCATCTTTTACATTTTCCCTTTCCAGAGCGTGGGCACTTTAAAACAGTGATTTAAAGGCAGAGGCCAGCATTAATGTCTGACCCTAAGGCAGTCTGCCTTTCGCCCCTAGACCAGGTTGCTTAAGGGTCAAAAGCACAGCTTGGTGGGGCTAGTTAAGACCTTTTAGGGAGCAGCAGCTGGTCTTCTATCCTGCAGTCCAGTTAAAGCTATTCCAACCCCAGTGGGACAAGAATGCAGGGAAGAGGCTCAGTACAAATTGTTTGAGCACATTTGAAATAACAGCAGAAAAACATAATTTGCCTCTCTACCAGTAGAAAATGCCCTGTATTAAGTCGCACCACGAAAAAATGTTTTCTTTTTCCTCTTACTCTCCAAACATTGACCCATAGAATATAGATTCCAAAAAATCTTTATGTTGTTAGGTGGGCAAAATTGTGATGTATGCAGTCAAGGGGAGAAGAATGTCCAACGCTTTGGCCCCTTCCAATGCTTTATTCACTCAAGTTCCTCCATACAGTTTCACTCTATAGGTTCTTAATCAAGAAAACACAATCCTTAATGCTGGGCACTGCAATAGACATAATCAATCCACAGCAAACAGTTCTAGATTCATTCTAAGAACTGCAAAACACACTTAATCAGGACAGGCTAGTGGCAGACATTCCCTCTGCAGGCTGTGTGACAGTAATAATTTTTTTCTTGTGTTGTGAGATGCTTATGCAAGCATTTGAAGGTCACCAAACAAAAATAAGGGATGCTAGCAAAAGTCCTTGTGGCAAGTCTGAGGGGGAGATGTGGGGACAAGTGCATGGAGAACTGCATACGTGGCATACATGAAGGACACCTGAGTGGCAGGCTACTCCCCTCCAGCTAGAAGTGTGAGCCGCAGGTTGCTCACCCTGTAGGACCCTCCCTGGGCGTGAGGCCACCTGTTACAGTCCTTGCACTTGCTCCATGGCTTGCTACTTGATTGGTTGTGGCTCTTCAGAGTCACTCCTGTGCCCACAGTAGCTCAATAGAGCAACCTTGGAATCAACAGTAGGCCAGAGGGAATATTGGGGGGCCTACTTTGGTCTCCTAGAGTTTTTCAGAATTGTATTGGTGGCTGCGTGTAATGTGCTTAGCTGCTGCCCGAGTGTATACCCATGGTAACTGCGCAATAAAATCAGACCTGCTTCCTGCTTGGTGTCTGGAGGTCTTGATTTGTGACTCTAGCCACACTGTCCTCGACCCTGTTCCGTGTGCCTCATTGCTCGATGAGACAGAGGCCACACAAACACAAAGTCCCGTTTTCCCTGGAAGCAATGTACAGAAGCAAACGCATGGACCCAGACATGGAGCAGTGCACCAGACACACAAGCACGTGGGGATTGAAGATTGAACACCATGGAGGAGGCTTGCAAAACCAGCGGTCATAACGCAGGACGGCCAGCAGGGGGCACTCTGCTCAAGGCGAAGTGTTGAAAACAGGCCCCTGCATCAAGGAGAGGATTGTAAACTCAGGAAACTGGATGAAGCCTCTGCACAGGAGCACAGCCCAGAGAGCAGAGAGTGACTGCAGAGATGTGAAAGAGAGGTCTCAGGACGTGTTGGAGAGGAAACTGTCCCCATTAAGGGCCTGTAGGCTGCTGGGGATTAAATTGGCAGTAAGAGAGATTCAGGGAGAGAAGCTACTCAGTCCCTTGCAGTGCAGGGGCATCTTTCTCAAGTAGAGACCCAGAAAAGGGCAAGGTTCTGAGGACTGCGGAGCCTCTGGAGTACAGAATGGAACCAGCAGGTGTCAGGATGGTGGAGAGGATGACAGGAGGGAAGGGAGATGGGTGGGGGAGGAGGGGGCTTTGCTGTGCAGACAGGTCTCAGGGTCTTTGTTGGGTGGGAGAGGCAGCCCGGCTGGTCAAAATAATAACCTTGCTTTAATTTGATTTTAATTGGAGCCAGTGGTCTTTCCTTGCCTCCTGGTCTAACACCCTCCCCTGCGCCACACTCACTGTTGTTTGTGATCCTAGAAGCTGCCATTGTCCCTGGAGTGAGATGAAAGAGGAATTTTGATCTCTAAGAACCTTTTGAAAATAAGCTGTGTTTCTCCAAAAAGAGAATAGTGAAGGAAGAAGGTGAGAGCTGAAGGGACTCAGGTCGACCAGCAGCCGGGCAGGGCTGGGAGCTGGTGGGCTGCGCCTATGGTTGGAGGGTGCCAGGGCAGAGCAGGCTGAGCAGACAGACATCAGTCATGGCTGGGGTCCATCCTGATGGGTGGCTTTTCCTATCTGAGGTGTAGATCCTCAGGCAGTAGCTGCTCTCTGGATGTCACACTGTCAGGTCTCATTGTAGTGAATGGATCTGGGGGGATCTAATTGGAGGCCACCTTCTCTCTGCTCTGGAGAGGACAGAACAGCTTATCCCCACCCACGCATGGGCCACCGCCCCTGGTGCTGTTCACCTCCTGAGGACACCTGGCTGAGTCCTGCTGTTGTCCTCAGTCATCTCTCTGTGATCCTTGTCCCTCCACAGGAGCAACTCTGTGGAACAGGCACTTCCTGACCCTGCTCTTCCAGCCAGAGGGCGCCTGAGCCTGCCAAGGGAGAGGGGTCTGCCATACTTTGGAAACAAGTGGTCCAGCTGGACCTGCCTTTGATCCTTGACCTCTGCAGAGACCCCTGGGAGACCCGCGTCCTCATTCCTGACTCTATGCCCTGGTTTCACGAGGTGGTAGGCAGAGTCCAGCAGGCTCATAGTTCACACCAGCCCATGGCTGGCTTGCCACATCTCCACATACTCACCACACAGAGCTAAGGGACCCTCAGTTCCAATATGGAAGCTCCAGACACACTCAGGTCATTGCACTGGTCAGTGTGGTCATTGCACTGGTGGTCAGTGTATTAGTCTTCCTGGGCTGCTGTAACCAAACACCCAGCCTGGGGCCTTCAGACCACAGACCCTGACTGCTCATGGATGACCTCAGGCCACCACCCAAGCTAACTCCACCTCTGCCTGATGGCCAAAGCCATCTCCAGCCCAGTGGATCTTGGGATAAAGAAAGACATGGCAGCTGGCCATCGCTAGGAGCCCTGCTTCTTTCCCATCACCCATGCTGTGTGGAACACAAAGCCAGCACATTGGGCCAGCTGTGTCCCTTGTCTCCAGCCCCACTTGTAACCTCTGAGTTCTTCAGCATCTTCTGGGCTGGGTCACCTTCTTCAGACCCAGCCATACCCTTGACTCTATTGACTTTGTCGCCCATGTCCTCACAGAGGCTTCATGTTCTTAGGTGTCAAGCTTTCAATTCTGCAAATGTATCAACAAAATAATTCCTTTAATTACTATTATTACTATTGGTACTAGGGATCCAACCTGGGGCGCTTAACCACTGAGCTACATCCCTAATCCTTTTTTTCCATTATTGAGGTTAATATGACACGCTGTATTGGCCCCAAGTGGCAAAATTTTATGTTTTATAAGCGAGCTTTCTGGCAGAGCTGAGCAGGGTTATTATTTCTTTCTGGTTTGACTATCAGTTGAAACCCAGGAAGCTGAGAGCACTGGGTCAGCTTCTGGGGGTACATTGCTTCTTAGGACGATGCAGATGGGCTTGTGGCTTTTCTGGAAAATGTTGGTGCATCTGAACGCTGACATGGAAAGAGTAGACAAGAGGGGGACTTTATACTGAGAGAAAATAATGAGGTCAGTCTGTGCAATAGAATGACATGTTTCAAGGAGGCAAATGAGCTTGAGCTCACAGACATGTTATGAGACTACAGAGGCCTGAAGTCTAACCTAATACAATTCTACATATTATGACATTATTTGCATATCACCTATTGCAATAATAATACGATATTATTCTTTTACAATAAATACTGACTCCTACATACAATTTCCCCTATACATTCATGACAATGATTTCCCTTTCTATCCCTTGTCAGCACCTAAACACAGGGTAAGGACAGGGTTTCCTTGTCTCCCTCGTGTAGCTGCACTGGTCAAAGTTCCTTTCCTGCTTTCAATCAACACCTTTTCTTTTTGATTTTAGGGCAAACAGCTGAGCAGACTTGTGGGATCAGCAGAGTCAGGTCTGTACATAACAATTGATAATAGTACAATGTAGACTATCTACATTGAGCACAAGGCGCCCATTTTATTTCCGCTGCACATTGCTGTTTTAGAGGGTTGCCTGCCTTCCCACACCCCACCCATTTCTCTGCTGGGGATGGAACCCTGAGCCACAGCCCCAACCCCAAAAGTTTCCTGTTATAGCTCAGGCTGCCTCCTCAAAGATCAGAGGCCAGGAGGTAATGAGAATTACTATAATAATTTAAAATTTTTTTCATTAGTAGATATCATATATATGTGTGATGTATATGATAGCTTTAAAGAGTGTTTCAAAAATATGGAGACAGTGTCTTTCGAATTTGCCTCAGGTCTCATTTTATATATATAGTTTTTTCATATATATATAAAATAAACCCAGTGGGGCTTGACCTGGACCACTGAGCTACAACCCCACCCTTTCCATTTTATTTTAAGAGAGGGTCTCACTGACCTTCGGCTCCTCCAGCCCCAGCCTCCCTGAGAAGCTGTGCTTTGTTTTTGTGTTGAGGTTAAACCCAGGGCCTCCTCATGCTGGGAAAGCACTCCATGGCTGAATCCTAGCTCAGCGCCAGGTGTCCCCTCTGTACCAGAGGCTAAGCCAAGGCTTCCGCCTGGATTAGTTCCCAGCACAGCCGGGAAGCTCCGCCTGAAAAGGGCTGGAGCCAGGAATATGTCACTCTACCCAATTTCAGCCAGTGATTGGATGACGTTGGCTGTCAGTCACGATGCAGAGGCGGGCCTGGAGGCCATCCATCCCGGATGCTGGGGGAACTGCCCAATCAGTGCGCAGAGGAAGAGGAAGGGCGGGCTTCCGCAATCTCTGGCTTTTCTTCCGCAGCAACTCGGCTTCTCATCCTTCAAGCCAAGAGTTCTCTGCTCCAGGGACTCAGGTGACTCTGCTGCCTGTGACCCCGCACACCCCCAACTCGGGTGCCTGAGGTTCCTCGAGAGGACGCTGGGTCACCACAGAAGACAAAAATGGTGAGTTTGCGACCAGGGCTGGAGGTACACGTCACCACCTGCCTTGGGGCCTGGTGCCCGGGTGAGCTGGGGAGCGCAGCGGAGTCGTGGCTCTGTCTCTTGGTCTCATGGGGTGAGCTGCTGAGCGTGGCAGAGTCCCCGCTGGAGGATGGCCCTGGGCCCTGTCCCCTGGTTCCCTGGGTTTGGAAGGGCTGCTCAGGTCCCTGGTGTCCCCTTAGCTCCCTACTTGTGGCCCGACCCACTCTTCCCTACGTGGAGGAAGCAGGGCCACAAATGCACCTTCCTCCTCCCAGGGGAGCTCCTCCGGAGGCTGCTGTAGGTCCCCCAAATTGCAGGCGCCTCCTGCCTTCTAAACCCACCTTCCCTCCACCTCACAGCTCGGCCAGACGTTCGTTCTTCCCACTCGGTCCAAATGGACACCGTCGGCTAATTGTCACTTTTCATCTAGTGAAATATTGGAGAGAATAGTTCTTTTCTTTTAATTGGGGACCCAAACTCGGGGA